CCCTGGCCAGGCCCACCTTGGAGCAGGTGGACGGGTAGGAAGAAGGGGCTTTGCCCAGAGGCTGGGGTCTATGGAGCAGCTGGCAGGGAGGAGCAGAGGAGAAATGCAGTGACCAGGGCAGGGGTGGACGTCCAGAAGCAAAGCTTGGCTGCCAGGAACATGAGCTGGACCTGGGAGCCAGCGGGAAGTTGAGGTGGTGAGGGCCCTGGGAGGGCTCTGGTCCACGGGAGGCCCGTCTTGGTGCAGCAGGGCTCTGAAGGGCTGGGCCCTGGCCTTTTGAGGTGTATGCATCACAGTCCTCTTGGTTTAGAGCAGGATCGGGTTGGGCCTGAAGGAAGGTGGACATCAGGAAGGGGTCCCCAGAGGAGGGGCAGCCTGCACAAGGCCAGAAAGGCCCCTGGGGGAGGCTGGATCTGCTCCTCCCAGCCCCAGGGCCTTTGCTCATCCCTGTTCACCTGTCTGGCACAGGGAAGGTGGCTTTGGGGACCAGATTCCTCTGTCATGGCTGGGGACCTAGGCTTGGGCCAAGCCCCACCCTCCCCAGAGGTCCGGGTCCCTCCCCCAGTGAAGCTCCAGGCAGCGAGGCTTAGAAAACCACACAGATTTATTGCATATCAATCTCATGTATAAATTCATTGTGGCATTGGAAAGATTACATTTGGTATACAGTCCTATTCTACAGCATTAACCTCAAAATCAGCTTCTGCTAGGCTTTACCTTAAAGAAATCTCTCTACACAAGGACATCTGTCTTCATCACGAGCATCAAAATGAAATCTGCAAGATGGCTCTGGATTCTCTACTACACGCCAAGTCTTCTCATTTCACCGCCCTCCTGCAGCGACTTCCCGGTCAGGGAGGGCCGGCCCTCTGCGTGGGCGGCTTAGGGCTCCCAGTCTGGACGTGGACCCTACTCACATGTCCATAAGTGCATCTACGGAATTTTCCTTGTCATAAAATTTCACAAACAGACACGATAATGACCGCTAAACACGAGTCATGCACAGTTTGCTTATAAACAACAGAAGCAATTTACAACCACGGAGGTGTGCGGCGAGCACCGCCCTCCTTCTCGATGGTTTTTTTTTTTTTTTTTAAAAAAAAAAAAAACAACAATATATGAAAACCAGACATTTACATTTGATTTCTTTTTCAACACTATACAGTTCTAAAAGAAACAAAACAAAACAAAAAAACCCCAAAACAGAACTCAACCCAATCTGCCATGTGACAATGGCGTGGACGCACAGGTCTGTGGTCCTCGTGCGGCCGGGGCAATGCATATGCAGAAATGCAGACAGACCCTCAGTTACAAAGTAGATCTATATACACGCTTTAAATTACAGATTCTGACACCAGGGCTCCGCTTCCCTTGTGCTGAACCAGCGGCGAGACGGGAGGCGCTGAAGGACATCTCTAGAGTTACCTTGTTCACAGGTGAATTGCGCGTTTGGAAACTCAAGCTGCCTGTAGGTATTGGGATTTCTTTTCTTTTTTTTTTTTTTTTTCCAAAAGTGGTAACTATGAATCCGTGACAGAAAAGAACGAATAAACAAACAAATGAAAATGGAATGAAAGAGAAAGGGACTCTTCTCGGAATGACGCAAGACGTCTTCGTCACAGTATCACTCAATGCGGCGGACAGTTCCATGGCTCTGGACACCCAGCTGACCTCCACTGACCAGGAACGGTGTCCGGTGTTCCCAGCCGGGAGGGAGCGCCGCCCYGGCTCCCGGACCCCCGTCCCCACCCTGTGGCAGTAGGGTGCCAGCCCTCCTCTCCCCTCCCTGGAAGAGCTCAGCCGGTTTCAGTCACTCAGGCAGGGGACGAGGGTGGGGACAGGGACCACAATCCAGTGCTAAAACACGTGATATGTATCAGGAGGGTGTTTGCAAATACTCGCTGGGGAAGTAGCAGAAGCAGAGGGGCCAAGGGCCCTCGGGTCTCCAGGGCTGGACTCTGGGTCACGGGGGTCTGGGTCCAGCAGGGTCTGGAAAGGCCAGCTGCACTCTTGGCCTGGGGAAGGAGGGCCCCTCGGGCTGGGCAGTCTCTCAGGCCACTYGGTGCCTACCCCCTCCACTAGTCCACCTCCCTGGGTCTGCTCAGGGWCGTCACGGGGCTCCCTCATGCAGAATCTGCCTGTTCAGTAGGATGGGCAGCCCTACATGTCCTCCCTGAGCATCCTGGGATGGGGGCAGCAACAGGACACAGGTGGGGCCTCACCAGGGACAGGGTCCCCAGGACGCAGAGGGAAGGTGCAGGGGCCTCCTCTGAATTTCTGTTGGGGGACGAGGGCCAACAATCCAAAGGAGTCATCCTCCAGGCCACACACTGGGCAGACTGGCCTCAACCGGAGCCACCTTCCGCAGAGGGTGGCCGGCCAGCCAGCCGCCTTGACCCTTCTTTGCCCTTGCTGCAGAGCCACACGGCCCCCCGTTTCGGCTTGGGGCTCTGGGGGTCAGGGTCTTGGCTTGGCCCCCTGACCCCCAGTTGGTCTCCTAGTGTGGAGGACACTGGGCCTGAGTGACCAGACACCTCTGGGCTGGCACTGCCACCTGGGCACAGGGAAGCCGGGAGCCTGGAGTTGGCTGGGTCTGGGGCAGTACCAAGCACTGAGCACTTAGGGATCGCTTTCTTTGTCAGGGGGTCTAAGGGCAGAGCACCCCAAAATGCCGAGTGCTGGGCCCAGGGGTGTTCAAGAGAAGCTGGGCCTCCTCTCCTTGTGGGGACAAAAATACATGACAAATGTGCAGCCAGGGCTCTTTGGAGAGAGGGAAGAAGAGAAGGAAGAGAAGATGCGCGGAAAGATGCGCCCCAGATGGCAGAACTGGGCAGGGCCCCCCAGGGTGACGAGGGTGGGCCTGTCTGTCCTGCCGCTGCCGAGACACACCTCGGCCTCCTCCATCCAAACTTCCCGCTGGGAGAGAGCAGCACATCGCAAAGAAAAGCACACACCTTGTTCTTTCGCAGAAGAAATCATATAATTTGGGTTTACAGAAGTGGGGGGTCTGTGTCTGAGGCTGGGTTTTTGTGAGGGTCCCACCTAGTTCAAGGAGGAAGTGGAAATCCCTGGGCCGGACCTGGCGGGTCTGTGAGGAGCCGTCCTGGGCAGGTGTGTTTGCGAGTCCCTGCGGGTCGGCCAGCGGCTCAGGCTCCCCGGCTCCCCCGAGGGCGTCTTTCCAGCCCGCGCACAGGTGCGCCAGGCCAGTCCCGGGGCAGGCTGGCTCTCTCTTTTAGCAAGGGGAGAAGCCCTTTCACTGGGACCTGCAGGTCCCTGGTGTCTGCAGGGGCCTCCGTCCAGGGTGGGAGACTCCAGAGCCCACCTGGCCACCTGGCATCAAGAGGCAGTCATCATGGAACACGCCGGCTTCAATACTGCCTATTGCCCCCGGGGACCACCACGGGGAGGTCCCCGCAGGGCACAGAGCTGCGCTGTGTCAGGCCCTGTGCCCTGGGTCTGTGCATTTTTGCTTCTCTTTGTTTAAAGGGAAACTGGGGCAATTTTTTTTCTCTCTTCTTGTTTTTTTCTTCCAAACAATAAAAGAAATAAATAGAACACTTGTCTTAAATGCAGCTGAAACTCAGATTTAACAAAACACATGATTGTCTGGTAAACGGGTAGCAGTGACAGCAGGATTCGTGAGGGGGGGACGCGGGGGTATTTGGCACATTAAAAAACCGCCCCACTCCCTGGTTAGTGATCACACGACACACAACCTTATTACACGGTTTTGGTCCTTCACTAGATACTTATATTAACATTATTTCTTCACAATAAGAATGTCTAATGCCAAAAATACTGTTAAGGAAGAAATAAAATAAGAAAAAAAAATGAATTAGAAAAAATTACAAGTTATATACAGATTAAGGTAAATTCCATCAGGAAAAAAAAAATGATTTGAAATTGGCCCCTACGGGAATAATTTAAAGCCGGTCCGAATGGAGAGGTGGACACATCCCCAGGGAGAGAGTGGCCCATCCTGGGGACTGTGCTGTCTCTGCTCTTTGCAGCAGGTCCCCGACCCCTTCTGCTCCCGACCCTGTCTTGTCAAGAACCTGCGCCAAGAGCAGAAGCGGCGGCCGGGTGGTCGGGGCGGAGTCTCAGGCACGGGCAGCGCTGGGCGTCCTGAAGTGGTGCAGCTGGGAAGGGCACCCCACCTGGCGGCCTCGGCCTCGGGCAGGACACTCCAGCTGCTGGGGGTCGGGTGAGAGCAGGAGGTTGGGGACCCAGAGTGTCTTCCAACAAACCCTGCCTTGAGAAGAGAGGCTGGGGCCGGCCTGGTGGTGGCGGCACAGAGCTGGCGGGAGGGTCACCAGGTGCTCTGCCACGCCTCTGCATGCAGGACCTGAGCCACGGGCTCCCGACATCCCCAGACAATTGGGGGGTCATGGGTGGGGGCCTGTGGATTTCTTTGCAGGCCACAAGCGGGCAGGCAACCTCCCAGTCCCGGCTCCAGCAAGCCTGCAGCCAGGCACCAAGTCCAGGAATTCCTCAGCAGGGTCTGCGCACGTTCAAAGGAGCGTCCCCGGGCCTCTTTTCTGTCTGGGGGGGGGGGCACCCAGAATCACCTTGGCTTGTACAAATAGGATCAACGATAGAAAATTCTCCATTATCTACAGTATAAAGGGTACACCCCAAGCACAGTGCTGGCTGCCCAGGCAGGCTTGGGTTGGCAAATAAGCTGAAATTCCAAAGCAATGCAAAATTACTTTTAAAAAACAATTTGCAAGTCATTTTGTTTGATTTTTTTTTAAAAAATACTGTCTATTTTTTTTAAAACCCACATGCTTAAATAGACTCTGTAGTCAATAAGATTACCAAAAGGGTCATTCTGGTCATTTTCATTATAAAAACTGCGCCTGTGTCTCCTCCGGGCACACCTGCGTCCTCTGTGCACTCTCCGGTGCCACGCAGGCTCCCATCCAGGCTTGAGATCCCACCCTCACCCGCCATGCTCTTCTTCAAGGCAGCTCCGCTCCAAGAGCAGCCTGAGCGTCGCTGGTGCTCGCCGAGACTGAAGGCTATTCCCAGGGCCGGTCCTCAGAGGCAGGGAGGTGCCACGGCTGCTTTGGGGAGTGTTGGGTTCCAAGTTTTCCCTGGAGAAGTCAGAATTGAACTTGGAGGGTGGGGGCTGGGCGCCGAGCAGTGCTCCAGTGCAGGTGGCAGGGGCTTCCGGGGGCCCGCCGCCATTCCCCGCAGCTGGCACCCCGACTTTGGACTCTGGCCCTGGGGCCTCCTGGCCCCTCAGAGGTGGTTGATGGGGTTAAAGGCTCCAGACTCCGACGTGGCTCCCGCGATGTTCAACCAAGCGTCCAGCGAGCTCTGGGAGGGGGCGTGGAGAGGAGCATCCTCGGAAAGGGACAGCATCATTGCATATGCCTGGCAGGGGGACGACACAGGACAGGTGAGCAGTGTCACAGACAGGAAGGGCTGAACCTTGTCCCCAACCTCCGCTGGCCCCTGGCCAGCTTGGCCTGGCCCTGTCAGATGGGGAGAGGTGGGCAAAGGTGACTGGGGTCTTCCCCAGGCCTGGAAGACAGAGGCGTGTGAGGGGTCAGAACAGGGCAGGGGGTGTTTGTCCAGAGTGGCACCAAGACACTGTGGCCTGGCCAGGAGCCTCTAGTGCACACAGAACCCCGTGGCCTCCTGGGGGTGCTCCCTGCACTCGCCTTTCATCCCCCACTTTGATCTTCCTGGTGACAGGTGTCTGTGCTGGGAGGGCCCTGGGACCTGGTGGGAGGTACTGCTAAGACCCCACACCCACAGGGTCCTCCCTGCCTGGAGGGGCAGGGGCCTGGGGACACCTGCCTTGGCAGCTGTGGCGTCGTCACAGAGCTACTTCTACAAACAAAAAGGGCAGCATTTCTGAGCTGACGAGTTATTAGGGAATGGGAATGTGTTTCCCGGCTTTAGTCAGCAACAGGACGTCCTTCTGCCCAGGCCTCAGGGCAGGAGGTGACCAGGCCTGGGACACTCGGAGTATTCTGTGTGTTCATGGGTGGGGTGATGGGGAAGCAGGTGCCGGTCCCCCCAAGCAAACATTCTGGACAGCATTAGTAGAAGACGAAGACAGACATGCAGACAGCTTTTGATGAGACTCTTGGGCTGGGCCACGCCCTGCAGCAGAGAGAGTGGAGGGACCAGAGCCTCTTGCTGCAGAGGCACAGCGGGCAGGGTCCTGTGGCTGCTGCCCTAGGCATGGAGATGCGATGTGCCAGGCTGAGCCTGGTGCCCTGACTCACCCCAGGCTGCTCTAGCTTGGAGTGGTGACCACTTGATAGGGCAGCGTCCCCCAGGAAAAGCTGGATCAGAGATAGGGAGACCCAAGCAGCTGTTCTTGGGACCTTACCCACTAGGGATGGGACGAAAGTGGCCCCTACTCCTGCGTCTGAGACCCGGCTGCCCACTCTCTGTTCTCAACCTCTTCCTGCTTCACCTTGGCGGTGGGACCCTGGTGGTCACTAGGGCTTCACTTGAGCTCAGTTCAGTGGGCACTATGAGGAGGGGTCCTGAGCTTCCCTGGGGCAAGGGAGGGCCACAGCGGGAGGGGAGGACAAGAGGTGTGGTGGCCCGGAGCCAGGTGGAGACGGAAGGGAGGGCAGGGCTCTGACGGTACCTACCTGGTTCTTAGCCTGCCTGTACAGGGTCTGTTTTAAAGCCTCAGAATCTAAGGTGGAATTAAGCACATCTTTAACTTCAAATGCTTCCTCAGCTGCTCTGTGGAGATCCGGCCCCTTCCCAAAGGCCGGCGTCGGCTCCAAAGCTGACAGGCCGCCCTCTGGCTCCTCAAGACACCTGCACCAAGGACCAGGGGGGCCGGGGTTAGCTGGTCTGGCCGCCGGCCGCCCGTCGGACGCTGCATGGCTGGCTGTGTGCCCGCCTGCATGCCATGGGTCTCCACAAGCCACATGCACAAGGAGACAGACACATGGACACAGGACGCCTAGACGGAAGCCACGGATGCAGGAGAGCGGATGGACAGAGGGCCCCACGGGGCCGAGAGGGTCACACACACGACTGACAGCAGATGTGGTCTCTGGTCTAGAGACGGAGGGCTGGGAGGGAGGCCTGCATTTTGAGAGACTCCAGGCAGCTCTGCAGGGGCCCAGGCTGCCCTCCCTGGACCCAGAACTGCCCAGGAAATGCCGTCTCCAGAGGGCCTCCCCTGGGGGTCTTGGAATGCTGGCCATGTCACCCCAGTGCCAAGGGAAGTGGTTCTAGTTGGTAGGACTCCCCTGTACCTACTGCCCCTCTCGAGGCCGGACAGCACTGCTGGGGTGGACACAGCAGGGAGTAGCCTCATGGCAGTGCCTGGACCCTCAGGTCCTGTCCGACAGAGGACACCTTCCCTACTGCCCTCTCCTTCCAGCCTCTCGGAGGCTCCAGACCCCCTGGGCTTCCTACAGGGGCTTGCAGAAGCCACACCTGCTGGGCAGGGAGGAGCCCTGGAGGGAGGTGCCTCCTGGCAGAGGAGGACGTCCTGAAGAGGACGGTCACCTGGAGATGCCCAGTCCCTCCCCGGCTCTCCCCCAGCCCCCAGCCGCCCCCACCTTCGGGTGTGGTCAAAGCCCACGGCCAGGGAGGCAGGTGGCTCCTCGTCCTCCTCGTCCTCGTAGACTCCCTGGGGCTCGGGTGTGGGGGACACCGTGTCGTCCTGCGACTTCCCGGCCAGGCTGTCCTCGTCCTCCTCTTCCAGCTCCTCCTCTTCCTCCTCCTCCACATCCTCTGGCTTCTCGCTGGCTAAGCCTGGACACGGGGGGTTGCTGCCCAGCTCCTGGATCTCTGGCCTGAAGCGACAGGGGGGAAGCCGGCTGTGCTCAGGGGCCCTGCCTCGCCCGCCCCCAAGGCCAGCAGGGGCTCGGCTCTTTCCCTGCGCCTCCCCGTGGCCTCCCAGCTCTCCCCAGGAGACCTGGCATTTATGTCAGAATCCTTAAGCTCTGGGTCCTGGGCAGCTGGTGGCCTCCCTGGGCCCAGCCATGCTCCCTGCCATGGACGGAGAGCGATGGGGGGGGGGAAGGTCACCGGAGAGGAGAGGGTCGTGGGGGGACGCAGGGACAGAAACAGGTCCCCCAGCAGTGGACACCAGGCCATTCAGGGGCTCCTGGGGAGTGCGTGTGTCAGGGAAAAGGCTGCGGCTGGGCCTGGAGAAGTAGTCCTGTGCTTGAGACAGGGTTGGGCACTGCCCAAGGGTGCCTGCACGCCCTGTCCAGGGCCCGTGGTGCCCAAATCTGCACATGTTCCCCAGCCAGGCACAGGGACTCGGGGCCACGAGGGGACCCCCGAGGGACATGTGGGACACTGGGCTCAAGCTGCCTGCTGTCAGCCGTCTACACCAGCCCGGCCAAGCTTGTTCAGAGACCTCGGATCCCGCCTCACAGCCCCAGGTCACTGCGTCCTGGGCACGAGGCTTCTACTCTGGCTCCTCCTTACTAAAGAAAAAAGAGAAAAGCCAGCAAGGGGGGAGAGCTCTCAGGCCCCGCAGAAAGTCCCGCCCAGGTGCACTCCTCTTCACGCCCAAGGCCGCCAGGGCCCGGGGCTGCAGACACCGGCGGTTGCTCCTGCTGGCAGAGGGCCCCCATGAGGGGCAAAGGTGTCCTCCACTGTGGCTTCCAGAGCCCCCACTCTCGTCCTGCTGGGCCCTGGGGGACTGTCGGCAGCAGCACCGGGCAGCACACACGGTCTCAGGTGGACACGGGGTCGGTTCTTGGCATTGAAGGTGGCGCCTCCACAGCGCCTGGCTGAGCGGGAGACCCTCGATGGCCAGCTCTCCCAAGACGGGAAGGTGCTGGCGAAGCTGTCCCCAGAGCTGCCTTGTGGGATGCGCTGAGTCTCCAGAGGTCAGGGGCTCAGGGACACATCCAGAGTCCCCTTGTTGGCTGGTTGGCCAGGAGCCTCCGTGCACACGTGGGTCAAGCAGCGGGAGGCTCAGGTGCCAGGGAGACTGGGTCCCGCTGCCTGCCCTGGCTCTCTGTGGGGTGACCTTGGCAGGGGTCTGGCCTTTGGCCCTCACGGTCCACTCTGCAGACAGGATGAGTGGCAGGTGGACCGCAGGCCGACGCCTCCTCAGGTGCACCGGGCAGCCAGGTGCAGACGTCCCAGGCGGGTCCCACGTAGGTCTGCGTGGGATCCCTGCTCTCTGGGGAGCAGGATCTACCCTCTTTCTTTCCTGCCTGCTCACCCTGCACAGAACACTTGCCATGGGTGCGAGTGGGTGCAGCAGGGTCCACTCAGGTCTGGCAGGCTGCTCTCGGCTTCAGACAGGAGGACGGCCACTGGTTGGCGAGGTGCTGGTGGCCTGGGTGCTGACAGCTCCGCAGGCCGACGCTCCCGAGTCGGTGAGGTGTGGCTCAAGGTCCTTCTGAATTTGAGGGGAAACTGTCTCCTGGCTCCTGGTGTCTCTGTCCTCTGTCCCCACAGGGCTCTCCTTGTGTGTTCACACTGCCCCTTTCGTAAGGGTCCAGAGGCCACCTCACTGCAGCAGTCCTCACGGTCACTCCCTCTCCCCTGTGGAGACCCTGTCCCCACACTGTCATGCCCAGGTGCGCCGGGGTGAGGGTTCCACGGGGGAACTTTGGGAACACAGTCCAACCCAGGGGCTGAGGGGGTTGCTGGGCCAGGAAGCCTGGCAGGCCTTGGCCTCACCTACTGATTGAGAGCCACATGGTGTTAGCTGCTTCTAGCCCCAAGTGGGACCGCCAGCGTCCCCACCAGGTGGGCTGACTAAAGTCGACCGTGCCCCGCTATCATGGGTGACAGTGACAGGGAACAGTGAAGGGCAAAGCCAGCTGGGCCCTGGGCCTCGCTGCAGCAGGACAGGCTGTCCGGGGCCCGGGTGAGGCCCAACCTTGGGCTTTGTGGGGCGTGGGACCAGGTGTGCCCGGGTTGGGGTTGGGGCTGCCCACCCTCTGGCTGTGGGGAGGGGCAGTGGGGAGGCCTGCTGGAGTGCCCCATGGCCAGGCCAGGGTTGGGATGGCAGGGCTCCTGTCCTCATCCGCAAGCTGGGACACTTGTCCTTCCAGAGATGCCCCTGTCCTCATGGCGCAGTGGAGTGCCTGGCCTGCCACTGTGGTGCGTGGGGGTCTTGCTGTCCTCAGACTGCCCCAGGACCTTGGCACTGGTCCTGGGTCACCCAGTGAGGACGCCTAGGGCGAGTTCTCATTCCTTCTTTGTCTGGCTCTGCCCAGGGCCTCGAGGGCCGGGTGGGGTGGTCTTTGGCAGTGAGGAGGTGTTCTCAGAGTGGCAGGAGAGGGCCCTTCCGTCACTGTGTCTGCAGCCAAGGATGGGGAGCAGGACTTGGGCTGCACCTGGGCCCCGGATGAGGGTAAGAGGGCCCTACAGGTGAGCTCTCCTTGCCAGGGGCAGAAGCACAGGCTAAGTTCTCTGTCACTGATTGCTCAAAGGGACTTCCCCAAGGTCCCAGGAGCACCAAGAGCAGGAGGGTGCAGCCCTGTCCTGGAAGGGCAGCCAGGCCTGGGGCAGCCGGGTCTACAGGGACCTTCGTCACACCCGAGCTGCAGCCACCAGGGCCACTGGGATGGGGGCTGGGGCTGGGCTGCAGGCTCCGGGCTGGCTGCTGGGCTGGGCCAGGCACCCCTGTGCGGAACCCGGGGGTCCCTGCCTGAGCCCTTCTGGGGTCTGCAGCACCTGGCTGTCCTGCAGATGTTCTGCATCCTGTCTCCTGGGCTCTGAGCTCCCCTCTGGAAGGAGGGCCCTGGGCAGGCCACACACAGAGCCCTGGGCGCGAGGTTGCACAGAACACCCAAGTCCTGAAGCCGAGTCCTGCCACTGTTCTGCTGTTCTGTGTGTGCACGTGTAGAGCATTGTACACACGCACATGCCCACACATGCACACGCTACACATGTGCACCCACACATGCCCCCACATACAAGGTACGTGCAGGCACACATATGCATAAGCACATGTGTGTGCACGTGTGTGCCCTGCCTGCATGCACATGTGTACACGTGTGTCACATGCCTGCTTGTGTGTACGGTCTCTGACTTCGTGGTTCCACTCAGGATTTCTCAACTTCACAGTGGAATGAAAGTGATTTGTATTTGCTGGAAACCTTACTTTGAGTTTTGGACTTCAGACAGGAGGACATGTCTTAACGCTGGGCAGTGGCAGTGAGTCACCGCCTCCATTAGCCCTACGGTCAGGAGGGACAGCCAGGCCTGCACAGTGCGGGATGTAGGGATGACATTTGACATCAGCACTCACCTGAGGCTGAGGTGCGTGTTCTGCGCACACCTCAGCAGGTGTGGCCACACTGGAGTTCAGAGGTCAGGCTGCGGACGGCAGCTTCTGCTTACAACATGTCCCACGCGGGATGTTTTGTGAGGACATGGCCCCACTGTAAGTTGAAGTGTGCCTGTGTAGGTGTGTGTGTGTGAGTGTGTACAAGCATGTTTAAAGGGGCAGCAGTCTTGCTGGGAACCATTAGTGAGTGCCTGGAGTGGACAGAAGCGCCCTGGGCTTCTGGGCGTGGCTGGGCTGTGGCAGGAGCTCTGCACACGCCTCTGTTGACAGCGGCAGAGCCAGTGCCGCTCAGCTGTGTGCCAGGCACCGAGTCCCTCACCTGGTGGCTCTGCGATGCTGGGGGTTGGGGGACAGCCAGGCAGGGGTCTGCCTCTCACGGCCTGGGGCCTTCCTCTGCCCTGGGACCTGGTCCTGTCCAGGGTCAAGGTCGCCTGCCCTGGCAGAGGGTAGCCAAGGTCAGCCCTCTGGGGTTGTCTGTTCTTACCGCTTGTCTGTTCTCGAGGATGCCTGGCTCATCTCGCTGTTGGCGATGAAGTTCCTGATTTCAGAGAAGTAGGAGTCCTCTTTCTCGTCTAAAAGTGCGTGGTTGTCCGACTCGGAGGTCGGGGAAGAGGCACTGGTGCCCAGGTGGTTCGTGAGGACCCCCGCGTGCTGGCTCACTGTGGAGGGGCAGGTGTCAGGGGCACCCCTGGCAGGACCTGCCTGGAGTGCTCTCAGCTGCCCTCTTGCCTGTCCCCTCAGCACCTCCCCTCCCGCCCGCCCCCCGGCGCCCCCCACGGCCCACCTGGCGCGCCCTCGTGCTCGTGCTTCTTGAGGTGCCTGTCCAGGTTGGTCTGCTGCCCGAAGCAGCGGTTGCACAGGTGGCACTTGAAGGGCTTCTCCTTGTTGTGGATGTTGCGCACGTGCCGCTGGAGGTTGGAGGAGATGCTGAAGGAGCGGTCGCAATACTTGCACCTGGAAGACAGGCGCATGGGCGGTGGGCAGGGGCTGGCCTCCACCCAGGCCGCCACCTGAAGCAGCAGATCCTGTCTGAAGGAGCCCTGAGTGTGCCGCCGGTCCAGCTGGGCCTCCGGCATCCAGGGCCGGGCATGTACGCAGCCTGGGGCGACATGCTCCCAGCAGCCTCACGAGGGCAGCATTACAACACGCCAGAGCTGAGAGCCGCCCCCAGCTTCCCAGGTGGAGGGAGGCCCTCCCCCAGCCTTGCTCTGCAGCAGGAAGGCTCCCAAGTGCCCTCTGAGCGGACCTGTGTCTCACTGGGGCTGCAGGGTGACAAACCTGTTAATGCTTAGCTGCCCTGGCGGGTGGGGTGCAGGGCTCCCGACCTGCAGCCAGAGGGCTGAGGACGGCCTGGGGCTATGCCGACCTCCCTAGTCACCACCCTTGGGCTCAGTTGATCTKTATGTCCCATCTGGGCAGCAGGGTCTCAGCAGCCTGCACTCTGCACAAGATGCCGGTCCTGACTCTGTTCCTCAGAGCAGAGCCCTGACACACAGGTGAGGAAGCCCGCCCTCTGCCCAGCTTCCCCAGGGAGGGTCCCTGCTGTGCACCACCCTGAAGGCCCTGAAGTGACCCGCACACTGGGCAGCAAGAAAGCCCAAACCGAAACAAAGAGCCGAGCCGAGGGGCAAGGGCTGAAGGGGTCTCCTGAGCTCTGGAGACCCGCGAGTGCCCTGGGAAGAGCGGGTTCTGCACTGTGGAGGGCAGGTGGAGGGGAGGTGGCCAGAGCCAGCAGGGGCGCCACACGTGGGCAGGAGGTTGGCCTTCAGAGAGCCCCCAGGAGGCTCGTCAGGGTCTCGGGCGGGGGCGCTGGGTGACTTTGTTTGTATGAGGTGTGCGTTTGCATGCTTGAAAAGCAAGCGCCGCTGTGTCCACTGTGTAAGGTCCCGGCATTCTGGGCGTGGCCCTGCCTGGCCGAGGCTTTTGGGACGCAGGGCCCGTGCAGCGGCCTGGGTGGGGGCACGGGTGGGGGCAGTCAGAAGTCCCACCGGCCAGGGCCCCGTGAGGCCCCACCTCACCCACATTTGGTGCTGGTGGACACTCCAGCCCAGCATGCCGGTCACGAGCCTTGGTCATGTGGACACTTGCCCGAGGGCACTTCAGGACACAGCAGGGAGGGTCTCTGTAGGAGTGGCCTTTGCAGCCCTGTGCCACCCATGGGAGGGGTCTGGACTGACATCAGCGGCTGGTGTAGGCCCTGCCCAGGGAGCCCGAGGGGCCAGAAGCATGCCCTCGGGGCAGGTCCTGGGCCCCACATCTGGACACTGCTGGACTGGAGACAAGCACACCCTGTGTGAAGGGTGCAGGTGCACAAAACTGTCCCTGGACTCAGCCTGCAAGTGCCCCATCTACAGGCCACCTGACACAACCCTGCAGGTTGATAGCGAGTACCCCAGAAGTGGGGGGGGTGTGCTGACAGGAAGGAGTGGCCCCCGTGCCCAGGCCTTCTGTCTGGGCTTGGCAGCCCCAACTGCTGCTCCCATGGGTGCACCCACTCTTGCCTGAGGCCAGGTCCACCCCAGCCTTCTCTACAATGCACGGGCAACGTGCTGCTCCAGGGCCGTACACTGGTCCTCGGCATGCCCGCCTCCTCGGTCCCTTGTCCCCATCCTGGCTGCACCTCTCTGCAGGACCCTGCACCTCCTTGTCTCTGCTGAGGGGCCTCAGGCATGTGGATGTCCCAGGGAGCACAGGGCTTGCTCACAGCCTTTCCCGGCTCAGCCTGGGGACCGTCGGCAACCTGACTGACCATCTGAGAGGCCAGAGGTGCTGGCTGTCTTGGATTTTTCCACCGGAGCAATAACAGGTGCAGGCCATGGTCTGAGCTCCCCCAGGACTGGGCCAGAAAGGCTGGGGTTCCTCCAACCAGTGTACCCACAAAGAGCCCAGAAAGGAGGCATTTTAATCCCAGTGCACTCTCCCGCTGGGGCCCATACCCCCCCAACATGCAGACCCCGGGGAGCCAGGCTCCCCGGATTTCTGGTTCCTCGAGGCCATCGCTCCGGAAGGACAAGCTTGATCTGGTGTCTGCCCAGCGAAGGCCTCCCGGGCAGCGGCACTGAGAGCCCTGGGGTGGCTGGCGTGGGCCAGCCTGTCTGAAGGCGAGCTCACGCTCACACCCAGCCAGCTCAGTTCCTGGTTGGTTCCTTTGGGAATGTGGGGACCCTCTGATGCATCTCCCCACAAACACTGAGCAGAGACTGAGCCTGAAGCAGGTGTGGGGGGTGGGGCCTGTGCGTCTGGGGGTCAGGGAAGGGCCAGCGTCCACTGGGTTGTGGTGTCCTGCCTGTGGCCTCTCTTGGCCTAGACAGAGACGTCCATGTGAAACTCAGGGGAGCAGCGAGTCCAGGGCTGTGAGGGAGCAGAGTCTGGGGGTGCGCAGGGACGGGGTGGCAGCGGAAGGTGAAACAGGCCCCAGCCAGTGGGCCCCTCCCTGGGACCTGCGGGGCCACCACCAGCCATCACCAGGGAACTGCTGTTGGTCACTTTAAGAGTGAAAGAAAAAAAAAGAGAGATTTTGAAGCCCAGTCCTAAAAATTAAAATAAACAAGAACAAGGGCCTGTGAGGGCCTCCGGAGCCCCTGACGGAAACACCACTTGCCTTGCTTAGCAGCCTTGGGACGGGCTGGGACGGGGCCCTGGGGGAAGAGGGGCACCCAGCTGCACCCGGGCGCCRGCGAAAGCTCGTGCGAGACGTGCTCAGTGTGGCTGGGAGGAAGGACCCTGGGGCAGCCCCGGTGTTCCCAATTCAATCTTCATTGCTCTCCAGCCCCAATCCTGCCCCGCCCGGTGCTGGGGCTTCAGGAAGTGAGCATCTTTGGCCACACCTCGTCTTCTGCTTCACCCAGGGGAGGCCGCAGCCAAGGACCCCCTGCTGCCGGGATGGTGGGAGGCCAGCCTCCCTCCATGCCAGGGCCTAAACACCTTCTGATGCCTCTAGATAATCCAAGGACTTACAAGGAAGATGCTTCTGATCCTCTGCTTTGATCATCCTGCCAAAAGCCCCGTGTCCTCCTGCTGGCGAGGGGCCAGCCCCTCCCGGGCACACAGAGGCACATATGTGCACGTTGACATGCAGTGGGCATGCACGTGGTGCTGCCACGGAGGAGGGGCTCGCACCTGGGCCAGCATCGGGGTTCAGCACCTCGTGGCGGGACTGTGTCCTGCACAGTGGGCTTTTGAGAGGGGCCATGAATTTTTCTCTTCTGACTTAAAATCCTGTGCTGATCAAAGCAAGTCTAGAGACCACCAGGGCTCCCAAACGGAGGGGAGCTACTCCTCAGAGCAGGTTGCCTGAGCCAGACCAAGTCAGGATTTGCAGCACAAACTTGTGAAGCAATTACTGTTACCAAAGCCGAAACTCACAGATTGGAGAGAGCAAAAGAAATCAATGATAATTAAATTCTTCTATAAACACGGCTCGACCCTCTGGGGGCTCTTAGCACGCCACACTGTCCAAAAGTCGGCTCTCGTTACAGAAAAAACACAAGCTCGTTTGCTGGGAGGGGACCAGACCAAATAAATCTTTCTGCTGTTCACCTTTGTTAAGTTGTAAGTCACTGTTTTGGAGAGTGGGCCGGGTGCCGGTGTGTGGGGAGGGCTGAGGGCACAGTCACTGGACCCGTCAGGGCTGTCACCTACCCTGCCAGGGACTCAGCCCCAGGGACGCTGGAGATTCTCCATATATCTGTGTGGGGCTCGGGGACCAGCACGCACACCGGGCCCCCGTGGCCGCCCTCCCCGGGGATGGGCACACAGACTGAATCCCCGGGGCGCATAGCATCATAGGGTCCATTCCTGGTGACCTGGAGCTCTGTGTGGCCACAGTACAGGCATCTGCTGCTGTCAACCTCAACTGTGCCAAATGCTCTTTATTCCCAAGGCCTCGGCTGGCCAGACACACCCCAGGACGTTACTAAAACGGTCCTGGCAGAGAAACGGGCATTTCCCGCTTGTCTCGGGGTCACAGTTGCCTGGGCTCTGTCTAAGAGGCCCACTCCCTGACTGGGCAGGGCTTCAGGAGAGTCAGGGTGCCACCCTCAGCCCTTTCCTTTCCCACAGGCCCAAGGGACAGAGAGGACAGGGACCTGGGGACACAGCAGTCAGCTGAGGGACATCTCAGAGCCTCGGCCTCCTCTCACTGGAGTGGGGGTGGTGGGACTCGCTGGGGGCTGCTGTGAGCTCTGCTTCAATGACGTCCACATCCAGGAGAGAGGAGTGAGGTGGGAGCAGGTGTGTGCCCCCCCCCCGGCCTGCCTACGAACCAGAGTGAACCCCTGGGGCACCCCCAAGCCAGGATGGGACCCGTGCTCGCTCAGAGCTCCTGCCCGGCGGTCCACCCACTCCCTGGTCCACCACAGGGGGCGGCAGCCGCAGCCATTGTGAGAGGCGAGGAGCTGTGGGTGCCCATGACACTGAGCTGCTCCACAGACACCCTGGGGCCCCAGCTTCAGGTGGACGCACTCGGATTCTGGGCTGCTGTCCCCATGGACATTCCAGCCACAGGTGGAGAGCAGCTACCTGCACCTGCTTTCTGGAAGCTTCCTGGGTAACTTTTGCCTCCTCCTTACAACCTCTGAGGGAGCAGGATAGCAGTGGGCTCAGAAGACAGAGGCCCAGAGAGTGACCAGACCCCAGGACTCAGCGAGATCACCCTGGCTCCTGCCCACTGCTGCTCCAGGGGCTGTGGCCCTTCTGAGGGTCTAGAGGCAGGGTGGGGGTCCCTGCTCAAAGGAGGGGAGTTCATGGTAGGCGGAAGCAGGCAGCCAAAATCGCAGCCCCCCACCCGGCCCTCGGAGCTCAGCCCCGCCGCCCTGCCCCGCTCCTACCTGTACGGCTGCTCCCCGGTGTGCGTCCTCAGGTGTCTCGTGAGGTTTGCTGACCGGGGGAAGATCTTGCCACAGTACCTGGGTGGAAGGAGGAGGTGTGAGGAGGCGACAGGCCGTCCTTTCTGACGTCTTCTCTCCATGCTGGGTCAGCAGCGCCGGAGGCCTCTCCCCCGGGGCAGGGCCCATTCTGCACCCTGGTTTCAGTTTCCCCGTGGGCCCTGGAGCCTGGCCCAGGYTTACGGAGACTCGTGATGTGGGCCACAGAGGAGGGTGAACCAGCCCCTGCCTGGAAGCCTCTCGGCCCCTCTGCCCAGCAGCGGACACAGCGGCAGGGACAGAGTGGGACAGGCCTGCACAGCCAGAAGGTCAGCTGGGGAGTGTCCTCCCATAGAAAGTGGCAGGGCCAAGTGCTGGGGTCCTTCGGGGTCTAACGCTGGCCAGTTGGTCCCCTCCAGCTGGTGGGCCAAGGTTGTGTTTGGGCCCACGTGAACCAGCTGTGTCATGTGTTGCAGAGGGTGCCTCAAGCAGCTAACTGGCCAGTCATGGCCACCATGTTTCCCTGTGGCCATGGCGACCTTCCTAGAAGCACAGGTTCACAGCCATAGCTGGGCACCTGGGCACCTTCCCACCAGTCCTCCAGGGGCACGCAGGGGCTCACCTGCACGTGTACCGCTCCTTGCCCTTCCTGAGGATGGGGTCCGAGAGCGTCGGGGGTGGGGACCGGAAGTTGAAGGGGTGGTGGGGCAGGGGCTGCAGCGAGCCCCCTGAGTCTGCTTTCAGGGCTGCGAAGCTCTCCAGCTTCTCTGTCATGGTCTCGATGGCTGACATCTGCTGGCACAAGAGACGCTGTCTTCAGTGCGTGGACCTCCGTCATGGGGACAGGAGCACAGCAGCAGGTTCTCGGTGGTCACTGGAACCAGGGGCCTCCAGGGTCTTACACCTTGTGCAGCCTGCCCTGTCCCTACCCTGGAGTCCAGGGTCTAGCCAGAGGGAGCTGGAACTGGCCCTTAAGAACTGGCCTCACTGCCCGGTTTGCATGGAAATGAGTCATGAAGTCTGCCAATGCTCAGGATCAGCCAATCTCTTATCTTGACCCAGGTCAGCGATGCCCAGCTGGCACATCCCTGGCAGCGCTCCTGGTGGGCTAGTTTGGGTTATACATAGAATCACACCTAGTTCTTGTCTATCTGTTTTGTTTATAAGCCTTGAAAAATTAAGATGCTACCTGAATCTGTTTAAAACAGACCACTGGCCCGGGGAACCACTGCCACCTAGTGGCTGCATCTCATAATTGCAGGCAAAGTGCAGAAAAGGAATCCAACAGCTAAGACAAGATCCCCTGGAAACCAATTCAAAACAACAATGCCCAAAGTCACAGACTCTAGGCAAAGGTCACTGTCTCTGCCCCCTGGAGATGTCAAGGGCTTGCTCAAGGGGAAGGGAGGGGTAGGATTGCTCATTCCCACCTGCTGGGTGGAGTCCTGGTCAACACCCCAGACTGTGCTGGCAGGAGAGGGGAGAGGCTGAAGGAGCTGCTCAGGTCTCAGTGGTGCTTCTCCCAGCTCTTCTGTGGGCACTGGGGAGGCTGGGTGCAGGGGCCCACAGGAAGGAGGGGCTTCATCAAGCCGAAGCTCCCGGTTTAAGGAGAGAGCTCAGGCAGTGAGGCCTGGGCCCCAGCAGCAGTCACTAGCCCTGGGAGGGGGCCCTGAGCCCTCCACACACCTCTGCTCCACGCACCCATAGGAGCTGTTTTGCCTTGGAGGGCACAGAGAAGGGACTGGTGAGGCGGGGTGAAGGAAGGCAGGGTGGACGGATGGAGACAGAGGGAAGGAGCCACTCATGGTCCCAAGTGCAGTGACCACGGGAGAGACTGGCCCTGGGCAGGGCCCTGGCAGCCAGCACCCACAGAGGGGCGGGGGTGGACCAGGAGGTCTTTGCAGGAGGTACTTGCTCATTTACAGCCAAGTCTCTGCCCCAGCCTTCCCTGGGCGGACGGAACCAGCCCATGGTGCGGCTGGGGGTTCTTTCAGCCAGCACCCACCCCTCTGCCCCTTGTCCCCTTGTCCAAGTGCCTGGCATGCACCATGGAGGGTGCTGTTCGCCAGGCACTTGTTCAGGGCGGGAAACAGAGGGCTCAGCCCCAGCGCGACTCGAGGCTACGTGCTCCAGTGGTGGAGACACGTGGGCAGTGGGGGGCGGAGGGGAAGCCACTGCTGAATGGAGACTGTGTGGGGCCTCCCCTCGGATGCTGCTCTGGGCTCTGCCCGGCCACAGGGGTTCCATCTTCACCCTGTCGGAATGGGCAGGCACACAGGCCTCGAGAGGACCTGGGATGCTTCCAGCCTGTACCCGCTGACCCCCGGTGGAAAGTGCCTGGCTTTCTCGCCCACCATCCAGCCTTCTTTGGCCCCTATGGCCTGGGCCCCAAGGTAGCACTGAAGCCCTGGCACAGAGACTGCTGTTCACCTGCCCTCAGGCCCAGCAGTGCCTAGGAACACGCTGACTCTCAGCCACCCAGAGACTCCCCAGGAACCCCAGAGCAGGTGAGGGGCTGCCCTTGGGTGGGGCCTGGCTCTGCACCCCCAGGGCTGCACACCTGCCCCATGGGACTCAGAGGCAGAGGGTTTGCTGGGCACCTCAGCAGCCCAGGCAGGGACAGTGGTGGCCTCTTGGGGGAGACCAGTGGCTACCAGGCACTTTCTGCCCAGGTGGCAACCCAACCTCAGACCATTTAATTAGTCATCTCTCCCCTGCCCCTTCCTCCTGGCTCAGGGACACAGGGACCGCCAGGGGTGTGGTAGGCCCACGAGGGGTGGGCAGGAGGGACAATGGGCAGCTGGGCCCCCGCTGGGCCTCTCTTCCTGGGGCTTGGGTGGGTCCGCCTGCCCAGCCTGGTCTGCCCTATCATATTCCCCGTGGAGACCCCCCGCCCCCAACAGGATGTGCGGCTGGCTTGTCTGCCCCTCCAGCCTGCCCGAGGATAAATCAGGGGAAGTCATTAACCAAACTCACGGCCCCGCAGAACAATGGCAGGTGCTAAGTTTAGCTGTGAACTCAACCAGGGCGCAGGTTTCACAAACCAGGGGTGTCCAGGCGGGAAAGGCAGACAAACAATGCCCGTGCAGGCTTCGGGGGCAGGCTTGGGAGGCCCCGGGACCCTCCGGGTGGTGGGGGAGGCCTGGGGCAGTGGCCTGCAGCTCTGGGGAGGCGCCTGGGCTCCTTGAAGGGAGGACAGGTGGGACCCAGGAAGATTCTGAACTGGGCTGTGCCCACCCCCCAGGAGGACATGGGCAGGAGAGCACGCAGGAGGGCCTGCAGGCTGGTGGGGCTGAGTCCAGGGTCCAGGCTTTGGTGCTCTGCAGGGGTCCCTGAGGAGAGCCTGTGCCCTCTGCTCTTGGGGAGCTGCACCTCCTGCTCCTCTGCGTGCAGCTGTGCTCTCTGGAYTTCCCAGTTCGTCAGGTTCAGGTATCCCCCAGGAGGACCAGCTTCTACCCCGAGCCACCTGGGCTGCTCCCCTCCCCCCTCCCAGCCCGCCAGTGCACACTCCCGCCCTCCTGGAGCGCAGTCTTGGGTCAGTGGCCCCCTGAGGGTAGGGCTCCTCTGGTGGAAGGCCCCTGGACAGCCTTGCTGGCCTGCACTGTGAGGACCCCCTCCTCATCCTCTCCAACCCTGCAGGATCCTCTGCCTCGGAAAGGAGAGGGTGCTGGCCCTGAGCCTGCCCAGCTGCCAGCCTGGGTTTTACCTGGGGGTGAAACAGCAGCGGGGACGGCCTCAGGTACTTCTCCTTCAGGACACCCACGGGGTCCGTCACCTTCCGCTTTTCTACCCTGCTGGACAGCAACACAGAGGGTTACGTGCCCCACTGAGCCACCTGCTCTGCAGAAGCACATCTGTGCCCGTTGGCACGGTGTGGGGCTCACCACAGCTTCCTGCTGGCTCTTACTGCCTTGTTGGTGGCAGTGGGGGTCCTGGCTCTCCTACTCACCTGCCTGGACCCCCAGCCCACCTCCTACCCAAAGGGTCAACTCCCTCCCAGGCTCCCGTCACCTTCATGCTCCCCTAGGTCACCCCTAACAACCTCAGCTGCCGGCTCCTGGGCATGTCATGGGGGCTTGGTGCAAGGGGCCAGAAACTTCTCTGAAGGCCCTGGGCACCAGCCATCTGCCCACTGGCCAGGGCCACCAGCTCCCGTCCACTGCCCTGGATGGGCCAGCCTGGGTGGGAGGCTGCCTTGTCCAGGCACAGGGCCCATCCACAGCACAGTGTGGCTCCCTCCTGAAGGCCCAGGGCCCAGCTTCCTCTCCTGCCTGGACGTTGGCACGGGGTGCCTGCCCATTTTTGCCGATGACCGTGGTGACTGTGGGCTTTTGCCCGGGCAGGGCTCTATCTGAGACTCTGGATGGCAGCTGGAGACTGCCATTCTAGAACCTTCTCCCAAGGCCGGTGACACTCTGTTAGATAGGCCTCTCCCAGGTGGCCCAGTGGTCATGGGGGCCTCCATGCTGCCTCCCTTAGCCGATGCCTCCCAGCAGTGGGCTGCCTGATCTCCCTGCGCCATCCCCAGCGAGGGCTGCTGTGAGCCTCCCAGTGCCACGGCATTGGCCAAACCCAGCCTGACCACGTGCCCTCTGAAGACCCCTGGGATAGGCCACGTATGATTTATCTGTGGGGACCCCCCACCCCCCGGGCCCTGGCCCACACTCCACCAAGGGCAGTCCATGCTGCTCTGAGCCCCAGTGGACCAGAGCAGGACAGGCCAGTGACAGCAGAGAGAGGGGAAGGCAGCACAGCCAGCCCTGGCCAGATCCCAGGCACAGGCGTTCCCACCAGGGACCCAGGGAGACCACCAGGGGAGGGCCCTGGAGACCCTCGAGAGGGCGGGGCAGACGGCAAGGCTGTGGCCCTGCAGGACAGGCAGGCTGTGCAGGGCTTCCTGGGACACCCATGCTCTGGGCCGGTGGCACTTGCAGAGGATGGAACCTGGGAGGGGAAGGGCTTGCTGGGAGGGACAAGCTGTCAGGACGAGTGGGCGCTTCTCTCTGACCTTCAGCCCAAGGCCAGTGCCTCCAGAGGGGCTGACACCCTGCCCAGCAAACTCAGATGCTGCTGTCCTCCTCTGCCTTTCCCTGACACCCGGCTCCCAGATGACCACTGCAGTGGACATGCACACAGCCAAGGTGTGTGCTGTGGGTGTCCCGTGGGCACAAAGCCCAGTAGGATGGATGCAGCTGCTGCGCGGCTTCAGGGAGGCAGAGGGCTGGAGGGGCAGCAGCCAGGGAGGATGCTTACAGTCCTCTGGCCAGGGATGGAGGACTGGGGGTCCTGGCATGCTCTTGGCAGCTGGGCCCTGTGCCTTCACACACCGCGTCTACCCAGGTTGTACCTGGGGTGGGTAGGAGGGGACCCACCTCGGGCCCTGGCTGGTGTTCCCTGCCTTCTGTCCTTAGGGATGCCCAGGTAGCCCTGTGAGCAGCCTGGACCCTGATGGCCAAGGATAAGAGTTCAGACACGTCCAGCCCCAGAGCACCTCCACCAGGAGCCCATGTAGGGGCGTGTAGGTGTGATTGTGCTAGTGTGTGAGCGTGTGGCATGTGAGAGCACACGAGAGTGTGGGCATGGAGGTTTGTGGTTGTGTGAGTGCATGTGAGCATGTGCGTCTATGTGTGATGGTGTGTGTGTGATAATGTGTGTGTGAGTGTGCATGTCGGTGTGTATATGTGAGATGTGAATGAATGTATATGTGAGCATGATTTGTGCATGTGAACATGTATGTATGTGTGTGCATGCACATGGGTATGAATGTACGTATGTATGACTAGGGTGAGTGTGTGTATGTGTGTGAGCATACATGGATGTGTACATGTGTGCATATGTACATACGACTGTGTAGGTGTATGCGTATGTTTACGAGCGTAGGTGTGCACAGGTGTGCATGTGTGAGGGTGTGTGTGAAGGGGGCCTTCGGGCCCTGTGGTCCTCACAGTTCCACCTCCCAGGCTGCCCGTGGCCCCTGCAGCTTCCCGGGAAGCCCAGGCCCTAAGCCCTAAACCAGTGGGGTGGAGGGAGGGGTGTCTGAAGGGGAAGGGCAGAGGACGAGAGAGAGGCCAGAGAGGCTCAGGCAGACCACCCTGTCTCTCTGCTCCAGCCCTGGGGACCCCCAGAAGGCTCGTCACCCGCCTGGGTCCTATGCACACCAAGGTGGCCTGTGGAGGTCCTGGGATCCTACTTAATTATTGTTATTTTTCCAAGGTTGAGGTCCTTTGTACATACTTGCCTATGTGGCCAATGTGACTGTCACGGCAGGTGCCACCCTGGACTCCCTGACAGCCAGCACACYCTAGAGAAAGTGAGGCACTGGGTAGAGGATGGGCCTCCCCAGTCTTACGAGCCCCTCATCAACTGGCCAGCGCTGCCCTGGCCTGGTGCTGGCCACCTGCGCCCTGGAAGCAGGGCTGCGGCCTCGACCCTCCCTGCTGAGCCTCTGGCCCGTCCCACGCAGCCGGTGGACGGGCCTCTTCCAAGCAACACCGGGGGCACGTTTCTCGATCCTGCGATGAGGGTGCTGGCACCCTGCACAGCGTAGGAGCTGGCTGCAGATGCGGCTTGGTCTGGGTGGGAGCGGCCTCGGCCCCAGCGGTGCTGTGGGCGCCGTGTCCCTGGCAGAGCGGCCAGGCCAGGCCAGCCCTGAAGGCAGCTCTCTGGCCTCCGCACTCTGACATCACTTGTTCTCATCTTTGTCCTCCTAGATCCCCAAGCACAGCAGGTGAGACCTCCTCACCCAAGTAGAAGCTGTCCTCTGTGCCCCCATGGGGCTGAACTGCAGGGCCAGCAGACGCGGTCTTCAGAAGGGSCCGCCGTCCGCTCTCTGCAGCTTTAGCACACAGGCTTCCGAGGCCTGGGCTGGCCCTGGTGCTCGGCCTCTGCTGGGGGCACCCGCTGGGGGCAGCCCCTGGGGTCTCCCTTCATGGCGAGGATGGTAGGACCCCTGCCATGGAACCTGGTCCCGCTCTCCCTGTGGACCCCACCTAGGGAGGGGCAGAGCCTGCCCACTGGCTGGGGAACGGGACTCAGCCGGCCCCTTGCTGGGAGGACATCAGAGAGATGGGAGGCTGATGTCCTGCAGACCCTCTTGAACTTCCCTATCCTCTCCCTCGTCCCCTCTGGGGACCAACAGCTCCCTCTGTGGTTTCTCCCAGGCCACCAAAATGCCCCTTAGTGTGGCTTCAAGAGTGGGGTGGGACCACAGGGGCAGCCTTGGGGATGTGGAGCCTCAGGGAGGTGGACAGAGAGCTCAGAGCCAGTGCAGGCCCCTCTGACCTTTTCCGGAACACAGACTTGGTTCAGGAAAGACAGCTGGACACAGGGAGGCGTGGATACTGATGATGGCAGTACTCAGGAGGGGCTCAAGGTGGGGCAGAGGACATCTGACTTGCGGTCGGTRCAAGGGAACCACACGTGTCCAGGAGGCCCCACCCCGGCCCACCRACCCTGGGAGTGGCCCAGCCAGATGCCCCTCCAGAGGGGTATGGAGCCCCAGGAGCTGAGGCCCCTCCCTGAAGCCCACAGAGGCAGAGAACCTGGGGCGGATGTGGCCAGCTCCTGCGGCGTGGGCTCCGGGCAAGAGGAGGTGAGGACGGGGCATGTTAATACCTGTAAATGGGGTCCATGAAGAAGGGAGAGGGCTTGGCGTAGTGCAGGGAGGGCTGCTGGGGCAGCTGCGCCGGGCACACCTTGGGCAGCCCCTCGCCGGCCCCTGGCTTCCGCTCCCCGTAGATGTGGTTCTTCCGGGGCTCCCGGCCCCCTCCGTTCTGGCTGGCGCGGGCCCGGCTGCCGATGCTCAAGTCCAGTGGCTGCTCCTCGCTGGACGCGGGTGCCGGGGGCACCTTGGGCGCGGGCAGGATGGGCTTCCCCTCTTTTGGTTTGGTGGTGAGGTCGAAGGGGCACTCGGCGCTGGGGCCGCCCACCTTGAGTGTGTCCCGGGGCGACTTTGGCTCGGCCTTGACCAGCAGGTTGTGGGCCAGGGCGCGGTCCGTGAAGGGGTACAGGGAGTGGGGGAAATTGGGCAGGAACTGGAAGGGGAACACCGAGTGGTAGGGCAGCGCGCCCAGCTTCTTCTCCTGCATGCCCATGAAGCCCGGGCCAAAGTACTTCTCCGCAATGGACGCGATGGCTTTGATGGAGTCGCCGGCAGCGCCCGAGGCGGTCAGCAGCTGCTCCTCGGGCGGCGGGAAGAAGGAGTGCTGTGAGTAGAAGACGGGCACCTCGGCCCCACTGTGGGTGGACCCCGGGGGCACCGAGCCGCCGCCAAACTCGGGCTTGCCCTGGTCCTTGCCCTTGTCCCGGTCGCTGTCCACGTCGCTGTCCAGGTCCGAGCCGGTCCCCGTGGTGGTGTCCAGGTCGGTCCCCGTCGTGGTGTTGATGTCCTCGAAGTCGCTGCCATCGGACATGTCGGGGCTCCTGGTCTTGAGCTTCTCCACGTACGTGTCCTCCAGGCGGCTCTCCAGCTTCTCCTCCGGCCCCGGGGCCGCCGTGGCGCCCTGGCCGCTGTTGCTGACCGCAGAGATGAGGGGCAGTGCTGGGTTCCCCAGGGGGCTGGGGAGCTTGGCGTCCTGGGTGTGGTTCAGGGGGCTCTTGAGCAACGGTGTGGGAGGTAGCAGAGGCGGCCGGGGGTACAAGGACGGAGGGAAGATGCCCGGGAAGCCGGGCGTGAGTGCAGGGAAGGCCGGGGGGCCCGTGGAGAAGGGCAGGCTCCCGGGGTGGGGCCTGGAGGGGAAGTACTCGTTGAAGCCCAGGCCAGTGTGGTTGAGGTTGGGGGAGGGCTTGGCCTTGTCCATCAGGGGGCTGGGGGTCAAGGGCAGGCCCGGGGCGAAGAGGCCGCCCGGCGTGTAATGGCTCTTGCCCTCGCAGAAGCGCCGGTGCTTGTTCAGGGAGGAGGTAGTGCTGAACATCTGCCCACAGTCCTTGCACTTGATCTGCGTGCGGCAGTCCGCGTGCATGCGCTTGTGCCGGCACAGGTTGGAGAACTGCGTGTAGGACTTGTGGCAGACCTCACCTGGAACATCAGCAGAGAGCAGACACAGGCCGTATGAAATTACAGGGGACCCGTACCTCCAGGGGGAGCAGCTGTGCGGGCAAGCGTGCCTCTGTGCATGTGTGTGCGCCTCTTCATGTATGTGCCATGATTCTATAACATGCCACGTCTCATGCGTGCACAGAGCATGTGCTCACCTGTCTGTGTACTATAGGGAAGAGGTGCACGTATAAACGCATGTGCCTGTGTGTGCACAGGTGTCCCACCCTGGGGCTGTCTCCGGGGGGAGGGAGAGCCAGCCCAGGCCTGGCCGAGGGCCGCAGCAGGGCTAGGCCCCCTCAGCTGGCTGCCACAGGGGTCTGGGCTCCACAGCCTCCTACTTCCTCACCGCTCCAGACACGGCTGTCCCCACGGGTGAGAGCAAACCCTGACCACTCAGATCCTCCCACTTCCCGAGGCTCAAGTGCCCCGGCTCAGGGTCCTGTGGGCTGGGTGAGTGAAGCATCCGCTCGTCTTCCTCTTGCTCCTCTAACAAGAACGTGAGGAGCACACGCAAGCATGGGTGTCCACGGGACAGCTTCTTCCTAACCACGGAAACAAGGGCTCCTTGCCCTCGTCGGACGGGTGTGGACGCAGGCCACTACACGTCCCCCACTCCCCTGTGGTCACCCACTCACACACCCTCACTGCACACGCCCGTCCTCTGCAGGACACGTCCCCCACTCCCCTGTGGTCACCCACTCACACACCCTCACTGCACACGCCCCTCCTCTCCACGACACGTCCCCCACTCCCCCTGTGGTCACCCACTCACACACCCTCACTGCACACGCCCCTCCTCTCCAGGACACGTCCCCCACTCCCCCTGTGGTCACCCACTCACACACCCTCACTGCACACGCCCGTCCTCTGCAGGAGGGTGCTCTTTGGGAAAGTGCTCGAGAGGAGCCTCCCATTTCCATGCCAATTCTCGCCTCCTCCTTCCCACCTCTCCCTCAGGCACCCACAGGGCACACTCCAGCTCCCCAGTGGGACCGACATTGCCTCGGTTTCTGAGCTGGCGGGGCCTGGGCCTTCCAGGAGTAGGGTGAGCTATGGGCGTGCACACAGGTTTCACCCAGTGGGTGACACGGCGTCCGTGTGTACTCAGTGCCCGTGCCCTCACTGTCCTCCAAGTGACCCACGTGGACTTCCCCACTTCCTTGCAGTTTCCCATCCCAAGCTGAAGCCCTCGGAGGGTCTCCGAGCGTGCTGCCCAGCTCTGGCCTCCGCCCAACACCAACCTGGGGACAGACTCAATCTCGAGGGCTGCATGGCTTTTGCCAGAAGGCAAGGCACAGAGCGGGGCCTGGACACCGATGAGGGCATGTGTCCTCACCGTGGGGTAGGCCCACCCCGCGGGGAGCCTGTGCCATGCGGGGGAACCGTGGGCTCAGCCCGCCCAGGAGGCGGCAGCCTGGAACTCACGCTCTCCACAGGACCCAGTGGGCTTCACAAAGCCGGTTTGCACGTCCCGAGGACCACGGTGCGTCCCAGTGGGCCCTGCCCTGGCGAGGCTGCACCAGTCCTGGAAGCCCTCACCTCACGCCAACACGCACACCCGCCCACAGGGCCTGGCTCTCCTCCTCCTCCTCACTAGGCCTGATCTGGGTGTCATGATAGCATGGGGACAGTGGGCAGACAGGTGACACAGCTCAGCCAGAGGTCTGCGAGGGGTGACAGCCTGACGTGTGCGTGTGAGACGACCGTGCGAGGCAGGCGTGTGCGAGATGCACACGTGTGTCTGTGTTAGGTGACTGCATGGGGCAGGTGTGTACTTGGACACACGTGTGTGTGTGAGATGATCCTGCACTACGCACGTGTGTGTTGGTGACTGCAGGGGCAGGCGTGTGCTTGGGAACGCACAAAGTGTGTGACTGCACGAGGCGTGGGGACTAGGCCTGCTGTGACAAAGACGATGGCACACGGGGACATGGCCTCTCTGTGGCTGAACTCACTGAGAACCAGGGCCAGCCAAAGGCCCTGTGCAGGCCCACAGCCTGCAGGACTGGTCCCTGGTGACCTCTGGCCCCCGTCCCCCCACCCTGAGCCTCTCGGCAGGCACCCAGGCCAGTGCTCCTCACCACTGTGCTGGGCACCTCCCAACAAAGGTGCAGGGGCAGTGCCCACCCAGCACCAGCTTGGCCTCCCTGAGGCTCTAGCCCTGCACTGCTGTCCCCAGCTGGTGTCKGTCACCTCGTCTCCTCCCTCTAGCATGTGAACACGAGGACAGCAGGACAGGGCACCTGGGAGCGGGCCTGCCCTGTGGCTCTGGAGGACACTGCTCCGTGGCTGGCCCCACCCGGCTGCACTCTGTAGCTCAGCCAGTGCTGGGAGCAGAGGGGCGGGGAGGAACCGAGGTCCTTGCTGCCCCACCACCTACCTGCAGCCACTGGAGGAAACACAGAGGGGGCACAGGCAGGAGGGGGCCGGGGAGCAGGGTGGAGCGAGCGGGCAGTCCTAGTGGCCCCTGAGGGCTGCCAGGACCCGGCCACTAGGCAGAGGCCTCAGGCCTGGCTGGGAGGGATTTCTGCCCCTGCAGCGTGGGCCGAGGGGCAGGCGCAGGCGGCGCGGGCGGCAGCGGGCACTCACATATGAAGGGCTTGACGGTGCTGTGGATGTGCTTGTGCTGCTTGAGGCCGGAGGACGTGGCGAAGGTCTTGCCGCAGTCGGGGCAGGCGTGCGCCCGGGCGCCCACGTGCTGCGAGCGGATGTGCCGCTGCAGGTTGCTGGGGTCCGTGAACACCTGGGAGAGACGCTCTGCTGGAGGGTCCAGCCAGAAAGGCCGGGCCCTGCCTCCCTCTGGCGCTGCCCTCCCTGCCCGAGCTGGCCGGGGCAGCTGCTAGGGGMCACCGGGGAGCCGCAGAGCCTTTGGGCTGGGGTCCCACAGTCACTCCTGAGGACCTGRGGGCCAGAAGGCCACACATGATCCCCGCAGAGAGTATCTCGGCTGAAGTACATGGACCCCGAGGGCTGGCACCAGGGAGGCCACCCTCACCAGCCTCTTCCTTGGGGTTGGCAGGGGCACGAGGGCCTCCCTGGAGAGGACCTGGGTTCTGCTGGGGCCCTGATCCTCCTGAGTTGTGTGATAGGGTCTCTGACTTCCTGTCCTCCCCAGGAATGAGGAAGGACCACAGTGGCCCCGGGGCCTCTCATCTAAGCTGCTATCGCTACCCTGGGCATTTTCACAGGACGGCGGAGGAGCTGGGATCGGGACCAGGCTGGCGGGGCTGGCACGGTACCTTCACGCAGTTTTCACATTCAAAGCGCTTTCCACTGTCATGGGACATCTGGTGGCGGATGAGGTTGGACTTCCAGTTGAAGGCCTTGGGACACTGGTCACACTTGTACTCGCGCTCCTCTGTGTGGACGATCATGTGCTGCTCCAAGCTGGGGACAGGGGTCAGAGTCACTGGTGCCCTCGGCCTGCCCCTCCCGCTGCATCCTCTGGGGGTTGCCCAGGGGCAGACACAGCTGGCCCTTGTGTCAGGAGGAAGCCGGTTCCTACCCAGAGCTCAGTCCCCCATCCAAGGCCACCCCCAGTCAGCCAGGGGCAGGGCGGGACCCCAGGCCCCACGTCCTGGCCACCCTTCTGGGAAATCCCAACTTTGAACTAAACTTGGGCCAAGGGAAAAAGGAGTCACGGAGGTTGGACGCTTCCCTGAGCTGACGGGGGGCTGGGCAGGAGCCGGGGCTGCCCCTCGCAGTGGCCTGCCACCCAGGAGGCAGCGGGAGTGGCAGAGGGTCTGCAAGGGTGACGCGCTTGGGCGGGGACAGCAGCTGCTGGCAGGGTGCTGCCCCTCCCAGCTGAGCCAACAGCCTCTGACCCCTCCTCTCTGGGGACCCCGGCCTCCCCTCCCGTCCCCGGGATATCCGTTAATCTTCATGAGCAAAGCAGTAATACATCACRGCCCGCTAATTACGGGGCCCAGCCATCCATTTAGATCAGGAACGCCTGCTCCTCCGGCACCCGGAGATTGTATCTTTTGCCTGTTGTTAATTGTGATTTATGTGTTTATGTAAAGAAAACAGGGACCCTCTTTAGCGCGCTCTGTGGCGGCCTCTGCCGGGATTCGCCCACCAGCTCATTTCTCAGTCGTCTGGGTGGAGGGTCTGCATCCCAGGGGGCTGGGACTGGACGGGCTGTAAATCCCCAGCCATCACAGGCCATCAGCGGCCTGATGGTGGCTCACTGGGCAGGGCGGGCCTGGAGGGAGCCCTCCCAGGTGGGAGAGGCCCGAGCCTCAGCCTCTGGTTCCTGGAGCTCTGGGACTGGGTGTCCTGCCTCCCCATAGAGCCCGGGGTGCTATCTGCCCTTGGGATTTCATGTAGGTCCCCAATGGGTGGTAGGGTCTTGACTCCTGTCCAGCCTCAGGGTGGAGGAGGGCCAGTGGMCCTGCTCCTGCTGTCTGTGTCCAGCCAGTGTCCAGTGGGCCTGGCGCTCTGATGCCCTTCTCCGGCAGGTGGCTGCCACCTGAGGGGAGCAGAGCCTGGGGTCTGGGGTAGAAGGGGTCCTGGATGCCGCCTTCCTGGGCCTGGGGAGGGGTCTGGGGAGGCTGCCCATGCCATCCTGGGCAGTGGGCACTGTGGCCCCTGGCATCAACTGGGGCTAGAGCGCAGCAGGCCCAGGACCTGCGCACAGTCCTGATCCTTGCCAGGCGGTCTCCACAACCTGGCCTGCAGCCAGCAGGGGCAGTGGCCTCCCTGTCAGGGATGAACAGGTCTTTCTGGGGCTCAGACTTTCTGGTGGGAAAGGGGCGACACCAAGGCTCCGGCACGGGCCGCTGGTGCGCCTTTTCTGTCCCCGCGTGGTGTGGGGGCCTGGTGCCCGCCTGCCCCTGGTGCCCTCCTGCCCCTGGTGCCTCCTGCCCCTGGTGCCCGCCTGGCCCTGGTGCCC